AACGCCACAGAGTATACTAAAAGAAGTGGCTAAGATACCAGGTAATTGGCAGATTACGAGCCTATAAGTATAGCGGAGTGAGTCATTTAAGTAACATTCTGTAGTGGGTAGGTCTATAGACCAGTCCGTAAGATAGACCGCGGATGAGAAAGTAAAGGTATGCGTTAGTAATATGTTTACTTATATCATAAATGTAAAAGTTTATGAGGATGGATGTAAGAATGTATGTATTTATGTTTGTAACTTTTTCACGAAAAAACTATTGGACGTATTTTGATAAAATTTTGTATACGCATACTTCTGAGCGTGGATATAGGCTACTTTTATCTCACTTAACAGTTCCCTAGGGAACATGCGGGCAAAACCGCTGGCGAAAGCTAATAACTTATAATAAGAAGTAAATGACGGATTATAATTATACAACACACTTTATTGCCGAAAATTGTTTGGCCGATTATCATTTGCCAGCTAGCGTTTCTTAGAATTTTATTTTGCCGAATAATTATCATTATCATATTTTTTAATTTTCCAATCTCAACGTAACCAACTTTACGCTTGGCGTGATTTTCATGACAGTTTTCAAAATGCCAACTTTCAAGTAGCAAAATATTTTATTCAGCGTAATTTTCACTAAGTTGTTTATTGTTTACCAAATGCATTAATTAAGTCTATTTTGTTCTTAATACAAAATGCTTAAAAATTCCCTGGCACCCTGAGATGGGAATCGAACCCACTACCTTTCGCAATCCGGGCGACTGCTCTAACCGCTTAGCTACCCAGGACCTAACAGGACTGAAGACCTTTCAAGCACTTGTTACTTTTTCGCTACTACGTGGGTATTATACGTACGTATTATAGTTACGTATTATAATCAATACGTACGAAAAAGTATGTGGAAAATCAGCAATGTGTATAATTTTCTTTTCTCAAAAACACAGTCGTAAAATCTAAATAATTTACCAAATTCATTTGATGTCCAACACAAATTTTATTTTAATTAAATTTCTCTGACGACATAAATATTTATTTTAAACCTTTAAAGGTGGACAATTTTAAATACACTTTTAGATTTTTTATTATTGTAGCTAAAGCTTAGCATAGATATATTTGCCAATTTTTATAGATATATAACCTCTACAATTTTTATTTAGAAAGTACAAATTTATCTTTTACCGTTTAGTTAGACGATGTTAACAAAATCATGCTCCCTAGCGACATCGCTAGGCTAGGGAATCGTTTAAGGGGATGAAAGTAGCCCATATGTTAATCTACACTAAGAATTGCTCCTCGACAAATTTCATCGAAATCCGGCCAATATTTCTTGCACAAAGAAATAACTAACATCTAAACCTTTAAGTTTTCGTATTTATAATATTAGTAAGATAAAATAATTATCGGTGTCTTGTAGTAAATGTACTAAATTTGAAATTATTTTTAAATTTGGTGTATACAATGTTATGATACAGCTCTCCGTACCTATGCAACTTACAATTCTCTTACTGTGAGAATTATTTGCATACTAAATTATTAAATATTATTATCATCTTATTTATCCAGGAGTAAATATTACTGATAAGACAGCAGAACGAACTACCTTGGAACAAATTGGTATTGATTGTGGCCGCGCTCAAGAACTGTGCAACATTCTTCAAACAAAGTTCAACATAACTATTTCTAAAGAAATTTTGCCTAGCATGACAATCAATCAGTAAGTAAAATCAGGCATTAGACATATTTAATGCCAATCTCTTTAAATTCAAAAAATGTATTAGGGAAGTTGTGGTAGACCTAAACGTCGCATCTTTTTAATCATCCAGATTGATTTATACTCATTCTTTCTGTTTTCTTTCATATTAGTAAAAAATAATAATAATAGTTTTTTTTTATTTATCATATCTCATTGTGTAAACACCTTTAGGATATTAATTTAGTACTACACAGTTGTTACTTATTATTCGTATATATTTTTTGATTAATGTCTGTTGTGTTACCTAATAAATAAATAAATAAATGTATTTATTTTGTCACCATACAAGGTTCTAGTTTATCATCATCATTTCCAGTACTCTACCAATAAGATTAACTCAACGACCATTCATTCTGCTTCTATTAACAAACGCTTATCGATTTTCAGATTAGAGAATATGCAAAAAGCAAAGCATATAGATATCGAAAAAGATGCCGAAGGATTTGCCGCATACTTTACCAACTTTGATTCAGACGTTATGCAAGCTACTTGTGAACTGGTCATCATGCGTACTCTTATACACAAAAATAAGCTGGTAAACTAAACATAACTTGCATAATTGCTTTCCATTCTTGAATCTCGACATAAACAAAATTATTAATAGAATTAGCATTAATTGAATGAAATTAATGTAATAGCGTTTGTTGACCCAATACAAATACATGACATTAAATGTTTAGATTTTTGTTGTACGGCTCATGATGATAATGTTAGTGAAAAAAATATTTAAAAGAAAAAAACAAGAGGAATTCGTATTTGAAGGGCCAACCACCTCAGCAGCACAGTCTCACAGCAGCGCTGGTAATCTGACAGGTTATGTATATGTCGCAACCAAATGGTGTAACCAGCCAACCAACTGGACGGCCAGCCCTTCAATGAAATTGAATGGCGCCCAATTGGTTGGCTGATTATACCACTTATCTGTTACATATATATTTAAAAAAAAAAGGTTCTCGAATATTGCGACATCAAAGAACTTATTCCCTGATTGCTTGGTCTGAGCTTCAAGTTGAATCTAAACCGATACCTTACTAAACGCAAATCAATAAATCTAAAATTAGTCTTCTAAGATTTCATAAAATCGTAAAATGTGAAAATATTCACAGAACAGTATTTCTAAGCTCAATATTTTATTGTTCGTAGCGCGCAGATGAGTTCGACGTAGAACGCGACCACCTGTGCGTGATCCCTGGCTTAGAAGGTCACTATGGCAGATTCAGCACTCTTTGTGAGCGACTCAAGATACCTGCAGTTGTACTACAGCCCAAACATACTGAAACGACATTGGAGGAAATAGCGCAGAACCTAGCGAACGTAAGTAACACTGCTATGCTAGAAGTAACATTAATACTTAAAATATAAAATTACATAGGTACTTACGACTTACAACGTTGCGTATCGAAAGGCTCTTTAAAACACTTGATGACAGTCTGGAGTATTGTTATTTGATCACTGGTATATATCCGCAATCTCATGTACAACATTAAAAAAATAAAAAATAAAGCCTTATTACTTACGTTAATATTTATTTCAACGTCAAGCTTAACCAATATTGATTTTTATAACCTTTTACTTACATATCTCGGACACAATAAAGGCCTCCTCCAAAGAATTTCATCATTTAATATTCTGGGCTTTCTGTGTCTAATCACAGCCCGCTCGCTATCTTGATAATCTCGTCTTGCCACTTCTTAACCGGTCTTCCTCCGTTGCGCTTGCGACTTTTTGTCCATCTATCGTCCTGCGATCTCGCTACATGTCCCGCCCATTCCCATTTCAGTTTCAAAGAGTAACTTAAAACGTCAGTTCAATTTTTTCTTGTTAAATGCCTATTTTTTGTTTTATTATTTGTACGAGGGTCAAACTGAAAGTTCTTAGAAAATCAAAAACTGATTACATTAGCCAGTTATTAGTTTTATTATATCTTTTCAAAATATTGTCCATTCACGTCAATACACCGCTGCATGCGATGGAACCACTGGGAAAAGCACTTTGCCCACTCGTCCTTAGGGGTCTCTTCAATGGCATCGCGATACGCAGCCACCGCTTCTTCAGCATTCATAAACCGCTTTCCTTTAAGTTTTTCTTTAATTTTTGGAAATAAATAAAAATCACAAGGCGCGAGGTCGGGGCTATACGGCGGGTGACCCAGTAATTCAACGTTTGATGTCGCCAAATAGTCGATCGTTCGCTTGGCGGTGTGCGACGAGGCGTTGTCGTGGTGAAGGAGGATCCTACTGCGAGGTCGTTTCTCTCGAACTTTTTCCAAGACAAGTGGCAAACAATTGGTAGTGTACCATTCTGCAGAAACTGTTTTTTGATCTTCTAACACAATTGTTGCAAAATGACCTATCCTTCCAAAGAACGAGGCCACCATTTTTTTTCCCGCACTTCGATCTCTCTTCACTTTAGTTGGCAACTCCTCGAAAGGAAACACCCACTGAGCAGATTGTCTTTTGGTTTTAGGATCATAACAGTAAATCCAGCTTTCGTCACCTGTTAGTATGTCGAACACAGCATTTGAGTCACCTCCGTTAAATCTTTCAATCATTTTACGACACCAATCCACACGATGGAGTTTTTGAGCCTCAGTCAAATTATGAGGTATCCACCGGGCGCAAAGCTTCCTGACCGCTAAATGTTCGTGGAGGATTTTGTGCACTTGACTCATACCGATGCCTAAGCTTGTCCGAATCTGTTGATAGGTCACTCTTTTGTCAGTCTCTATCATACGCCGCACAACACAGATGTTATCTTCAGTCGTCGCCGTAGAAGGCCGTCCCTCACGTAAATCATCAGTGAGATTAGTGCGACCACGTTTAAACTCATTAAACCAGTTGTAAACAGTCGCACGAGATGGGGCTTCATCGTGAAAGGCCAATCGTAGTCTATCATAACTTTCTTGTTGACTTAAATGACATCGAAAGTCATAAAAAATCATTGCACGAAAATTTTCTCGTGTTAAATTCATGATGACGTGACACAGACAATTTTCAATTTGCCGCCAAATCGTAAAACAAATGACAAATGAATGAAATATATACTCAGTAATATTGGCAAAGAGTTATATTTTCAAATTTTAGAATTATTTTTTTATTATATTGTTTATAAGTGGCCAGTTCTAAGAACTTTCAGTTTGACCCTCGTACTTTTCTTATATTTAGTATACTGCGTTCCATACTATGTTGGCATGTAGATATTTTGTTTAATAATTTTCTTGTTTACTCCCAGCTTTGACAGGTGTAACTTAAACATGGTAATGATAAGATAGATGATATCATGATATATATAGCATTATTATATAGTTCGAGATTTCTCATAATTTAAAAAATAAAATTATTATTATGTTATTATGCAATACAATTCTGACTACACCAAAAATCTATTAATTTTAAGTGTAAAGATATCAAATAAATTTTTCAAAAAGCTATATTTTATTACAAAAACTTTCTGAAAAAAAAAGCCTGTTAATACAAGAACTGCAGTGATGTGCCAAATGTAATGCTATTTAATATAGGTACATATAGCATGTAAAATTACAACTTCATTATTTTCAGATAATAATACAGAAACTAACTCCGAAAAGGTCATTCTATCTTCTCGGTTACGAATTTGGTGTTCTAGTCGCCTTGGAAATAGCTTCCATTCTTGAAAACAAAGGTAAATGTAAATGAAAATTTTTCATAATATTTTTTCAGTCTTCTGAAAAACTAGTGATACATTCTACATATAAATCAATGGATTTAAAAGCATGACCATTAAATGCAATGAACCATTCAGTATTCTAGTCACGAAAGAATAAGGAACATGTCCTGACAATCAATCACTGTATATGCTTATAGTTACACGAGTAACATTAAACAAAGACGTCTTTTTATTATTCATTTGAGAGAAGAAAACCCTCGCCTAAACGAATATCGAAATGACGCAGCAGATTTTCACTAATGACAATGGGACTTAATTATCTTAGCAAATGTTTAGCTAAACGACAGTACACTAAGAAAAATTTTACATAAGATTTTACATAATTGCATCTGACATACTTATGTTTACTAAACTAAATTCCTTGACATGTTCAATAAGTTTAATATTTCCATTTGACATCTTATGCATTTTTTAATTTTTTTTTTTTTTGTACAATTTGATAAAATTGACATGATTAATAACTAATTAAATTAACAATGTTTTGACACAAATTGTAATATTTTGATTAAATACTAATATTGTTAAATTTGACACAATTTTATGTAATTATGAAATAATTTAAGTTACATCAATTTTATTATTATTATTAGGTATTATTATTATTTTTTTTGCATGCTGTTCAAGATGGCTAAATAGGTCAAAGCTCTTAAACTGAAATATCACAACTGTATATATAACCCTATTTATTGCAAATAAAGACTATTATTATTATTTTTGCATTTAAAAATTTACTCTCCCCGACCCCTCGACGATTCGAGGGGTGGGAGGATTCCCCCCGGCAGAGGGGGCCAGACGGCCGGGGGTCAGGGCGACAAAGAGAGAAAACGGCGGACGATCCTTGCGTTATCGAGCAAGATCGCCCGCTGGAGCCTCGCAATCATGGGTCCGTCACGGGGTCCCAACCTCTTCAGATGGTCGTGAAGAGAAGTTGGGACTAGGCCATTCGTTGACCTAGACCATTATTATTATTATTATAATCTACGAGAATAAAGCAAACAACGCTCTGCAGTAGTATTTAAAGCGGATAGTATCACTTTCAAGGATAGTATCATCCATATCATAAGCAAATATCGTAAATCTTTATTTTGTGTATTGATACATATCTCCTTTATTTCTTTTTAAAAATACTTCAAGCAATAAACTTTTTACTTTAGTTTCACCTTATGTTATTTACGCTTTTACAGGTTTAACCGGTACAGTATTTATGCTTGGAGGGACCCCACTTGATATCTGCAACTCATTCAACCATCGCTTTAAAAACATTTCTGCTGAGGATCAACAAAACGCTCTTATCAAGCATATGTATACTTTAATTACTTCAAAAAATTACACTGAAATAGAAAACGAGCTTGGAGCGAACAAGAGCTGGAATGACAAAGTGGAATGCCTCGTCCGGAAATTACCCTCTAATATTCAATACACTCAAATTTTACTCCAAGGAGTTTACGCCAAGATAAAGATGCTTCAAAAGTACGATTTCAAGCAGCACAAACTACATTCGCAACTCGTCCTCATTCGTGCTAAGCTTCCCATACCCGACGTTGATACTTTAGAAAGTTTTCCTAAAGAGATGAAGGTACACAATATACGTGCTGTCCTAGCACATGCGGATAAAGATCTGGCTTGCTCTAACATCGTCAACAAATATCTGGATAAGAATATCATAGAGGCTTATGAGAACAGCAACCAATGTGATACAGTACTGAAAAGTGATGAATTCGTAAAAAATATGGTGTCAGAATCGGAATAGTTGCACGAATTGGACGCTTTCATTTTGATCAAGTAGTGAAGAAGTTACTTTGGTTTGGTTGGCGGTTTTTTGTTAGTGTATATTTTTCATAATTCAGTATATTATTTTAAATAAATTGTTTTCAAGAGAATCACGTGTTTCAAGCTTTAATTAATCATAGTTGAATATATAATTTACTAGTAAACGAAAATCACAATTGCGTTTTCGATCAACATTTGATAATGGGCAGAGACATCGACTATGATATTCTATTAAAAACAGCAACGAACTCGAAGTTGAATGCAGCGGTATCACGTCATAGTGCTTCAATGAAATAAAACTTTTTTATGATTTGTTTGATATAACTTTTAGAATGTGACATGTAATTGAACTTACAATTTAAAAGAGGGTAAATATCCTGTGAGGAAGTACAAGTCACAAGCCACACATAATCACATGGCTCTAGTACGGATCGGTGCGTGTTAACGATTGCAGCTCTTTGGAATCACCCAACAGCAACACGTTGCTAATTTATTAGTTCCAGTTGTGGCAATAAAATACTAAATAAGGAAATAAGGTTTAAACCATGTTCCGACCAAATAAGTCAACAAATTTCAATGAGGAAGTATTTAAAAAAAAAATTAGTTCTCGAAATCAAACTAGATGTAGTTACGGTACGTCCCTGTTTCTCCATGACAACCAGGGCTTGAAACCGGTTCAGAATAAACCGTTTTTATTTAGGTAAAACCTGTTCTATTATAATGTTCCGTTCCGGATCGGAACTAAATGCGGAGTGAAATTCGGATAGAATAAAAACCGGTTAATTCGCTTGTTTCGTAAAAAGCAATGTTCTTACACTTTTGATGCGAATTATATCATTTTTAAGCGACGACATTTATCATACCTATGTACGGATGTTATAGATAGGAGTGTAGGCACTTAAAAACCGCGCTGAAGTTTGTGAGATCATTGTCTGGAGTCATATTTAAACCGGTTAGTGAACCGGTTTAAAAACCGGTTCGAAGGAGCTGAACCTTTTATGTAACGTTTCGCATGTACTTACGTCGAACCGGTTAAAAAAATAAACCGGTTTCCAAGCCCTGATGACAACCTTTCCGATTTTATTTCAAGTTTAAAAGTAAATTAGTTTTCAAAACTCAATAAACAACTCATATTCTATTTGTACTTTTTCGTATTTGTATTGATATCTAAGTTTCGAACTTTTCAAATTTCAGTTTTTTAATATGTTAGTTAAAAGGAACGGTAATGACTGCCTTTGGTTCATTCGTTTCCTGCAATAATCAACTTTTGCTAGAGTCGCCATCTAGTGGAGGTGCTTTTTGGTGGTTTCGTTTTTTATTAAATACTTTCTCATTGTATTCTCTGTCATCGTCAATTTGCTATAGATGGCGACGGCCCATATATAATACGAAAGTACAAGTTGAAAAAAAAAGGCGGGAAACGGCGAACTTGGTGGGCGCGTTTTTCGAGTTTGAAAATTATTTTATTTTATTTTATTAAGTATTGGTGATCAGATTTGTATATTTTCATCTTAGTTACTTTTAAATTTATTTAGTATTAGTTTGTAGTGTATTATAGCAGTTTATTGGTAAGTTTTTACGTTTTATTTTATGAACGAGCCTCCGGACATAGAACCGCCGGGGGACTATGTTCCCCCGGCTGGACTATTTGTTACCGTTTCTAATGAATCTGGAATGGAAACCGACGGTTCATTATCAGGACGATCACTCAAACGGAGTCGCGTGCATGTATGTAAGCACTGCAATAAAAAACGTCGCCGTAATCATAGTTCTGACTCAAAAAATGATTGCAATTGTTTTGATCTTTCACCAAGAAAAGAGTCTACTTCAAATGTAACTCAAAAAAAGACACAATCAGTTGACAAAGATTTTAATGTCTCTATTCCATCATCTGCTACTACAGAGCCCACAGTCACACCAACACCAATTGGCCGCGTTCTTTACAATAAAAATGATATTTCCCCATTTACTGTTCATGTGCAAAAAATACAAACTGACCTTCATGATAATACTTCAATTCATCCTGTTACTTTTGGAAGGTTCTTAAAAAATAACCAATTTGAAAATATTGTCAACGGTAGTGTAAAACTTATTGGCCGCAATAAAGTCTCACTAGCTTTTTCTGATTATATGTCTGCAAATTCTTTCATCACTAACAAAAAACTAGAAATTAATAAAATGAAAGCTTTTATACCTACTTTCAATGTCACTAGAATGGGTCTTGTACGAGGTGTCCCTTCAGAATGGACACCCGAAGAAGTTCTCGAAAATATTACTGTCCCAATGGGATGTGGCAAGATAATTAAAGTAAGACGTATCAATTATAAAGTTTCCCAAGGAGGTTCGGTTATATGGAAGCCCACACAATCAGTTGTAATTACTTTCGATGGGCAAATTTTACCCAAACGTGTCTTCATGTGTTTCAATGCTTTGCCAGTAGATCTGTACATTTATCCAACAATACAATGTTACTATTGTTGTCGCTTTGGCCATACCAAAAACCAGTGTAGGTCTAAACCCCGATGCTTTAAGTGTGGGGGAAATCATTCGGGTGATTGTTGTGAAACAGAGGATGACAGTAATGTTTTTTGCTGCTTATGTGAAGGATCCCATTTTGCTACAAACAAATCTTGTCCAGAGTATATTCGACAAAAAGAAATCAAGGTCTATATGGCAAATAATTGCACATCCTATGTAGAAGCATCAAAATCTTTTCCTAAAGTTTCAAAATCATATTCCAATGTTGTCTCCACTAATTCTTTTAAAACTTCTTTATATAAAAATTCAACATCAAATGTAGACCATAAAAGTAATTCTCCTACTTCTTCATATAAAAAGACAGTATTTCTTAAACCTCGCACTCCACCTAGACTAACACCGGGTTATGATATTGAAGCTCACAAGGCTCTTATAAAGGAATTTGATAGTCCTATTCCTGCAGATGGGTGTGTATTCAATAATAAGCTTCAGGATGAAAATAAGACTCAGATATCCATCACAGATTTAATTAAATTATTAATATCATTACTTACTCATTTTAACACAAATTCTTCTTCAGCCCTTCATTTACCGTCCAACGCAGTTTCTTTAATTTCAACTTTGATCGATGGCTTACAAAATGGACAATCAAGCTAGTATTATGCAATGGAATTGTCAAAGCTTAATAAGTAAAAAAAGCGAGTTAATTTTTCTTGTGAATAAATATAATCCTTTTGTTTTTGTATTATCAGAGACATGGCTTAAATGTCATCTAAATTTTAAAGTCAGTGGATATACTACCTTACGAGAAGATAGATCAGATGGCTATGAAGGCGTAGCCATACTCATTAAAGAATCACTTTCTTTCACACCTATTCCTCTGCCCTCTCACCATAAAGATATTTCAATAATTGCTGTTAGGGCTTTTAACAAATGCATTGTGTCTATATATATTTCCCATCCATCTATTCCTGTTTTTAATGAACTTCGTTTAATTCTAAATAATTTGCCCAAACCTTTTCTAGTACTAGGTGATTTCAATTGCCATCATCAATCGTGGGGCAGTTTTAATACAAACAATTATGGGGATGAATTATTAGACATCATTGATTGTCATAATATTTGTATCTTAAATACTGGTGAAGCTACACGTGTAACAAAACCAAATCAAAATAAAAGTGCTGTTGATCTGTCATTATGTTCTCCTAGTCTTGCATCTTCTCTTTCTTGGCAGATACTTTCTTCATCGTATGGTAGTGATCATTATCCTATTATTATAACTTTTTCTTTCTTTAAACCTTCAAACCCCTGTCGAATCTCCCATCTCAAACATAGGCTTCCAAATAAAGACAGTAAAGACTGGGAAAAATTCACAACTTCAGTTCAGTCAAAATTATATTTGCTCCCTAACATCAACTCTAGCTCTGAGCCTGAAAGAGCCGAAGCTTTGAGTAATCTTTTTATAGATGCAGCTAATGAAGTCTTCCCTAAAAAAGTTTACCCCAATAAAAATTCCATCTCCTCCGTGGTGGACAATGAGTGTACGGAAGCTGTGAAACAAAGAAAAGCTGCTGAGAAAATATATAAACAAAATATGACTGAAACTAATTATGATAAAATGTCAGAATTGATATCAAAAACTAAAAAACTTTTTAAACAAAAAAAATTTGAAGGGTGGCGTAGGTTCTGTTCCTCTATCTCCCCTAACACTCCTCCAACATTAGTTTGGCAAAACATTAAAAGATTCAAATCAGCTGTCAATAACAACTCTTCATCAATGATACCACCACAGCTAATAAACCTTTTCTTAGATAAATTAGCTCCTCCCTGGGTTTCGAACAATATCTCCATCTCTTCTTCCTTAGCTGACTCTGATATTAGTGATCCGTTTAGTTTATATGAATTAAAAGGTATCATCCAAAATACGAAAAACTCTGCCCCTGGGAGCGACGGTATCCCATATGCTTTTCTTTCCAACGTTTGCAATAATACATTACAATATTATTTAGATTTAATAAACTCGTCAATGATCTCAGGTAATATCCCCTCATCTTGGAAACGTCAAACAGTGTTGCCAATCTTAAAACCAAATAAAATTCCTTCTGAAGCTTCTTCTCGACCCATTGCTTTGTCTTCGGTTTTACTCAAACTAGCGGAGCATTTAATCAAAAACCGTATAGATTGGTTTCTAGAAAGTAAAGGCATTTTAGCCAATACTCAGTATGGCTTTAGAAAAGGTAGAAGCACACTCGATAATATTGCTATCTTCACTACAGATATTCGCATAGCTTTCTCTAATAACGATTCGGTAACAGCTGTTTTTGTAGACTTATCTTTTGCGTATGATAATGTCTTATTAGATATTCTCAAAATTAAACTATTATCTTTAGGTATACCTTCTCATTTCATAAATTTTATTCTCAACGTTTTAACAGAACGCAAAATAGAAATATATTACGACAATATTATTTATTCTCGGACTGTTTTAAAAGGCCTTCCGCAGCGGTCAGTCCTTAGTCCTATTCTGTATAATGTTTACACATACGATTTAGAAGATAATATTTGCTCAAATAAATATATCAAAATACTTCAATACGCCGATGACCTTTTATTGTATTACATTAGTCATTCCATTGAGGATTCGCTTCTTAAATTAACATCTGCTTTATCTAATTTAAAATATTGGATGGATTCTAATGGGTTACAACTGTCTGCTTCTAAAAGTGCTGTCGTAGTATATACGCGTAAAAATAAACTCCCTCCTATTTCCCTAAAGTATAATAATGCTGCTATTCCCGTTAAAGATCACGCGAAATTTTTAGGCATAGTTTTAGATTCGAAACTTTCAGGCACCGGCCATTGTGTATATGTTGCTGATAAATGTGAACGCTTATTAAATATGATAAGATGCCTTTCAGGTGTTTGGTGGGGAGCTCATCCATATTGTTTGAAGTTGGTTTACAACGCCCTTATTAGAAGTGTTTTAGATTACGGTACATTTTTGCTAGAACCAGGTAATGTTACAGCCCTTAGGAAGCTAGACAAAATTCAACATAAAGCTCTGAGGATAATATTGGGAGCCATGAAGTCGAGCCCAATAAACGCTTTACAAATAGAATGCTGTGAACCCCCCCTATAATTAAGACGGCAATATATTTGTGACAAATTCTTTTTTCGTACTATTCAGTGTTCAAATCATCCACTTCTTTCTAAGATTAAGGCACTTTATGAATTATTTTCTACTTCAAGCTATTGGACACATAAAACTCCACCATGTCTCATTGTTAGTTATAAGAAATTCATCTCCCTTTCTTCTCCTACTTATGTATCAAATTACCTTCCTATTTTTAATGTCAATTATAAATCATTAATTTTTCCACCTACTATTCATTATGACATAGTTGAAAAATCTGATTTAAACGCTAAATTAAACTTTGAAATCGCGATTTACAGCAAATTCAATGACTATCACCACATATTTTGTGATGCTTCCAAACATTCGACATCTACCTGCGTTGGAGTCGGTATTTATCATTCTCAATATAAAATAGTTCAGAAAGTAAAACTCCCTCCAGAATCATCCGTGTATTCAGGAGAATGTTTTGGCATATTTAAAACCTTAGAATACAGTAAAATCATGAAACTTAAATCTGTTATAATATTTTCAGACTCAAAGAGTACTTTACAGTCGATAGAAAAAT